CCCCAAAACCCCAAAACCCCAAAACCCCAAAACCCCTACCAATTATAATAATTGAAATGGCCAACTTGCATCCGTCGAAGTAGCCTGGTGATAACATGTAGAGTGTCCAGTCCGACCCCCGAGACTCCTCCACCAGACACATATTTGAAGCTGTCGAACATCCAGAGGTATTTAAGTGCTAACATGCAGACTGATACAGTACGACAAAGGTAGAAAGGGACTAACATTGTAGAGAAGGCAATTGGACAAATTGACAACCAGCTAAAGGTAAACTCTACACAGAACTTACTGAATATAACATTTGCAGTTTTCAAGTTTTAAGGATTCATAGAAATTAGTTTTTAATTTATGTTTCTTCCAGGACATACAAATATCACATTTAATCATGGCTATTTGCTGGCCAATTTGTTCATGAAAATTCATACTTAGAAATAAAACTAGAAGGTGTTTTATTGATAAAATTTGAGCCCGAAAGAGTATATAAAGCTTGAAAGATTGCTGTGAAGCATTTATTTGCTATTTTTGAAAAATTTTGAAGGAAAATTATTTTACTAATCTGTTTTACAGCAAGAAAAGGGAATGGGAGAACTTATGAGAGATCTTCACAACAGAGATAAAGCCAAGCTCAGGCGCAGGTTTGCCATCTCCTATATCCTCTAGACTCGATGAAGAAAAAATCAAACAAAACTACTCAGGAGTCCAAATGGGTAAGTGCACTCCTGATCTGTAGAACAGACTCTCAAGCACAGAAGAACCATTGGAGACAATGAAGAAGACCTCATGGACAGAGTCAGAGTACTCCCATTGTCTGAGGCTTTAGAACTTCAAACAGAATGAATATGAAAAACTGCTAGAAGTTGAGGATGAACGCAAATAAACTCGTCGGCAAACTCAAAGGTTCTGACTACAATGTTGACCAGCTGGCCAAGAGAGATAGAGGTCTCAGAGAGAACAGAAAGGAACAGGTTGACCGAATTCTGTATGACCAAGATGCCATTGAGCGAGAGCGGCAGCTAATGATGAACAAAGTGAGCAACTATGATCCTAAGCATGACCCCAGTTTACATCCTCGCAAAGAAGTAGCTCCTAACTTGTTGAGTGGATACAAGTCTATGCCAGAGATAGCACCTTTGAACCTGAAAGAGCAAGGCAGAGAGTTTTTGAAGCTTGAGCAAGCCAACAAGGCAGACCACTTTAAGCTAGTAGACAAGCCTCGTTCGAAGAGAGAGGTACCCCCATTAATACAGATGCCTCAGAAGCAGAGCATGGCCCCAATACATAGCCATCGAGCACACAGAATGCCAAGCACAAGTCCTGCTTTACCTCCTCCTCTACCTCCACAAGGTTTCGGGTAAATTTTCTTTTATTAACACCAATAGCTTTCCAGGATCTCATCCTCACGTAAGCCACTTAATCACATTCTACAGTTTCTATTTCCCTTCATAGACTCTAAAAATCATTATCCTTTTATTTTCATTTCCTAATCTCTAAAGCCATTGGTTGGTCACCCATTTGGTATGCCAGGCATGCCAGGTATGCCAGGTATGGCTGCTCCCTTTGGACCATACCCTCATCCTCCAAACACGATTCCACCTCAGTTCAGGACAATGATAGACCAAGCCAAACTAGAGAATGACAGACTTACTCAAGAACTTGATAACCTCAAATCTGGCTCAGGAGGCTTAGACAACGGAGGATTTGGAAATATAGCTCAACGTGCAGAAGAAGATATAGAAAAGCTTAAGAAAACCCTACTTCCTAACGGTCTTGGTAAGATCACCCAAGGATATATTATAGGTGGTGGAGGAACCAATGGCGATCCCTTCCCTGAAGATTTCGTATTCAGACAGAATGATTTCAGGTCAGAAGACCTTGAAGTTGAGGAACGAGCTCTCCTCAACCTTAATCTTCAGGAATATGATAATCTTAGAGTCCTTTCTAAACTTCCAGCCAATTCAGAGCTATACCGTTATAAGATGGACCAATTTAAAGAAGCAAGCACTATTAGAGGAGAAATTGAGAAGGTACTCCATGAACAGCGTCTCGAAAAGATCCGAAGAGACTTTGAAAAGGCTAAATATGAAGATGAACGAAAGTACAACCATGAAAGATGGCTTGAAGAACAGAAGAGAGAAATATTAGCAGCTAAACTTAGGACAAATAATGATGCTACCGCAAGATTGAATAGAAACCAATCTCTTCCTGATCTCAGAAAGGCAAAAGGACAAATATTAACTGCTTACGATGCTCCTCAATCCTCAAGATACCAACCTCAGTCTTCCTACAGCCGTCAAAGTACAGCTCGGAATAGGAATGATTATCCAAACATCCCACCTGTATTAAGCCAGAGACAGAGATACTAATTTTATCTGAAGGAGTTTCAATTTATAATGTTATAATTGGGGTTTTGGGGTTTTGGGGTTTTGGGGTTTTGGGG